GCTTGACAGCAGTGCTGCAGGAACAGTGTGTGTGTCTGAGTGTGAGGCTGGACATGAAGAGGAAGAGATCACTTCCCATCTGCCCACAACCAGCCTCTCACACAGGAAATGCCTTGCAGGAGGAGCAGGGGCAGCACTGAATGATGCACACTGTACAGCAGCTCCCGCCATTCAATAATAAGTCATTGGGTGTACAGAAAACATAGGAGAATTAGTAATGGAAATAACTCTTCAGACTTCACATGCCATAAAAAACCTTCTTCCCTAACCCTAAATTTAAGCCCTGTCGAAATATAAACACACTCTTTATTTAGTCCAAAATGTAAACACTCAAAGTCTAAACCTGAAAAAAAGATTTAACTGTAAACTGAGTTTAACTCCTCTTAAAAACTAACCTTATGTACCCCAATACTATATTTAACCCTACTTTAGCCCTAACTCCATGATCCATAAATCCATAAACACCCTTATAACATAGCTATAACCACTCTCAAGCTTTTTCATCCTCTTAACACTAAATCTCATTAACCCCTCTCAAACCTTAAACCCAGGTGTACCATAAGCCACCTCAAACACATTGACATTTATTCACTAAACTTCAAATTGTACCAAATTCAAATCTAATAGCAAAGTTCGGGCTAAAATAACCAATCTGTGCTTCTTGCTCAGTCGGGGAGAGTGTTTCCCTATCAGCTATTTTAACCTCATTTGTATTTGAATTCCTTATAATAGTTTATTGAATATGTCCCCTTGATTTCTCTGCTGTGATAGGTTAGATGCTGTCCTTAAAATGTGTTTTCAATAAGGATCAACATTAGTATAGTTGTTACCATGTGGCAATGAATTATGAGTAATATGTCCATTAGGCTTGATGTATGTCTCTCACTAGTAAGGCTCCAAGTACATTTACAAGCTGCTGATGAAGGTAAAAAGAAATTGGATGTATGCTTCGGAAATGTTTCTCTGACTAAAGTGTGCTGGAAACCATGTAGTTGGAGATAAAAGGTACCGTAACATGCACCATCAACAAAAAAGACTGTACGGTTTTACAGTTCAATTGGAAAAAGAGTGTCCTGCAAAGACTTTTTGTCAATGTGATTGTTCTCTTCATATTATAACTATTCTTTTTCTACTCTTATATGTACTACGTTAAAGATTTATTGAGGACAATGGCAAGCAGCAGCATTTACAATTATTTTTCTTTTATTGCTTTGCATTTTACTCAAATTTGCATATATTTGGTACAGTATATCGTTCACCATTATTGCCTGTCGTTTTATTATTTGTGAGGTATCCATTGTCTCAATGCATAGGTTCTCTGCAAGGTATAAAATCACCAGTGGAGTGGAGGCACTGTTTATTAAGGTAGTTAAAGGAACACTGTAGCTTTAGGAATGCATACCTATGTACATTTCTAACACTACAGTCCTGATTTCCCTTGTCATTTAGCCCCCCATCTGTATAAAAAATGTTGAGTCTCCCTAAGCGCTGCCACAGCCTCCTTCTCACGTGACATCATTCTGGAGGCATGACTACAGGATGACAGGCCAATCCAATGCTTCTCAACGAGGAGCATTGTGGAACTTGGCCCATGCACAATGCATGCTGTGATGCACCTACAATTCCTCCATAAAGAATCATTGTACTCAGTGATTCTCTGTGGCCAACTGTGACAGCATTGTACATGCACACGTGATGTCATGGTGAATGCTATGAGCGCTGGTAAGTAAGAGGGTTTGGAGGTGTAGCTTGAAGCTGTGCTTCCAAGCCTTCTAGCTAGTTTAATATAGGGTTTTCGGTGTAGGACAGGATGGAAGCACTGTAGGCACTATAACAACTTTAAAGTGCCAACAGTGTTGATTTAAAATATCCCACACTCCCTGCTGCAGAGACTCAGATCATTGCTGCAATGCTGCAGCGTCAAGAGTGACTATCCAGCCTGCACCAACGTCATCAAAGATTAAGAAAGTGGTCACATATGCATATGCTTGGAATTCTTTGGGATTTTAATTAATAGGCACGTTTTTAAATCAATATCATATTCTCCAACCAAATTATTTTAGTCTACATTTTATAACCTAAATCAGTTCACAAGTTACTGTTTTATGAGCAGACTCCCCAATATTTTGTCTTAAAAGAAGGAAATGAAAATTTAACTTGACATTTAGTTGCTCTGAAAGTGGAGGCATTGTTCACATGTGGTTAAATAAACAGATGGCATCTATCAAACCTGTCAGAAGGGAATACAATCTGAAATAGATAATGACTCTGCAAGTAGAACTATTTTTCTTTTCACTAAAATGTTTATTTTTTATTGTCAGATTACTTTAATTATCATGCAGATTTTTCCTATAAATATATGTATAAACCTAACTTTAGGGACAAAAAAATACCATATGGTACAGCAATTATACTCACATGACAGATCATGTATTCTTTAAATCATACTGGCCTCTAGTGGGGACTTCTGATTTTAAAGACTCAATAGGGAACATCCTTAACAAGATTACAAAGATCTTTACACACAGAAAGATTTACAGTCAGCGATGATCCTAGGGTCACAGATGTCTGGGTGCAGAATTATTTTGGGCTCCCACAAGTGGGCGTGGTCGTCTTTACTAACCACTCCCCTTTACAAATGTCCAGACATACATGTTTCTATGGCAACAATTCCACCCCTCCATCTAGAATCAGGATAGTTTTACATTAAGAGATACCAGTAAGGCCATCAAGACACTAGGCTAGGCATAGGCAACCTTCAGCACTCCAGATATTTTGGACTACACCTCCCATGATGCTTTGCCAGCATTATTGGTGTAAGAGTATTATGGGGGATGTAGTCCACAACATCTGGAGTACCAATGGTTGCCTATCCCTGCACTAGGCCATACTCAGGCACTGGTACAAAACGTACACACACGAACAGAGGACACTGACACAAAGTTCCACAATGAGGACTCTAACACACACATAGATTTACACACAGAGGTGTCAGACACCCACTCAGTGTCTGACACTGATTTGAATCACACTGGCAGACTCACTTAAAGACACACATACACATTCACTGACAGACAGACACACACTTACTGTCAGATACACACACATAGTTATACACTGAGTATACTGAAACACAAACACAGAGGACACTTACACACACACACACACACAACCAAATTTACACACAGAGGGCACTGATACACACAGAGGTCTTTTGTTATACAGAGAGGACACTAACACACACATATTTGCACACAGGGTACACTGACACATACACATTTACACACAGGTGTGCACTCACTGACAGACACACAAACATTCACTGACAAACACACACTCTTACTCATTTGACACACAGTCAGTGACATACATACATTCACTGGCAAGCACACACACTCACTGATTTGACACACTGACAGACACATTTACTGGCACACATTCTCAATTATTCAACACTCACTGACAGACACACATTCACTGACAGACACACACACGCTCACTGATCTAACACACACTGACAGGCACACACAATAATTGACACATAATGACAGACGCACGTATTGACACACACACTCACTGACAGATACACACTGTTTACAGTATGCAGGGTTTAGCTATTTTAGCTTTAAATGTGAGATTAAATTTAAATTCTCCAAAATTTACAATTGTGCAGGGTTATTCACGAAAGTGAGAATTAAAAGTAAAATTAATTTCAAATGCAACGCCAAAGTAATCAAACTGGAAGCAAAGTTGACAAAGTTAAATTTTTCCAATTTGGCTATTTTGGCCTTTAATTAGAAATTCACTTTCAATTATCAACTTGATCTGTCCACCAGACGTCCAGAGATCAGCATTCCCTCCTTGGCCAAAGGTAAGCAAATAAGAGCAGAGCATAAACTTTTCTTGAAAATATTTTTTTACAGCCCGTGACCATGTCCACGCACAAATCCCACCTAAACACAGACAGACTGCAAACATCCACCACCACACACACATTAAAAATGACCCCTATTATCTTTTTTTTATTATCAGACACACTACAAAACACTTCCCTCCATAAACAATCAGCCACTGTCCACAGTGGTTGCATAGTAGAATGCACTATTACATGAAAACTGTCCTGGTATACAGACAGACACAAACTAGAACATCACAGCCTAATCCACAAACACACAGGCCCACAAACAGCCTCACATATGTATCACCACACATATCCTTCCATACAAAAGAGGAGATAATTACAAATATATTAGAAATCCGATATATAAAAAAATCCAAGATAAAAAATAATAAGAAGTGAAATAAAGGTCCCAATAAAACTTGCCAGAAGACATCCTTTCATACAAATGCAAAAACACAAGGAAGCTACTCCTACAACGTGGAACACCACAGGAACCCTTCTCCCACACACAGAACTCCACACACACGCACCATGATGTCTCAGCCATGACCCACTTTAGTTCTCTGGTGTTATTACATAAGCATGTGATATATCATTTTACTAATGCAAGAGCTCTTTAGCAGGGCTCTCCCATGACCTGCACTTGAAAGGCACCACCTGATGGACATGTTCGTCTGACACCACCCTTCCTTTCAGGCTGCTTTGCCTTTAAATGTCCAGCCTGAATTTTTGTCCTCGCCTACCCCTGTGTATTCCTATTCTGAGGTGTGTTAAATGTGTACATATTTGTGGCATTGAAATATAAAACATATCAAGGATTTATCTTTTAAGGCTATTGAAAACACACGCTTCATACAAAAATATTCAGGTAATATAAACACTCCAAAACAATGTTCACCGCTTTCTGCAGTTTTAATTGCATTAACTTGTAACAAGGCTGTTGTTGTCTATATTGATATAGCATTTTGATTAATGAATGTAATGGAAACATTGAGAAGAATGAAAGAAGCATTGTACTACCTAATAATAACTTGATCTTTATTGAAAAAAGCAAAAATACATTCTGTATATTAAACAGAACAGTTTTTTGGAATGTACAGTTTAAAAACAAGAACCAGCTTTAGGCACACATAACAATGCTTTGCACAAACGTATATGCTATCTCATGGAAAATGTAATCCGCTATTTATGATAATGACATTTTTCTGTGTTTCTGCCTAACAGTTTGTTCTGGGCATCCAGTCAAATTTTCAAGGTCTGAGGTGACGTAAATCTAACAAATATGTATTATATAAAAAAATCCATAAACACACTAAATACAAAACATTTAACAATGTTAAAACTAACTATCACAATAAATATAGAGCATCACATGCTATGGTTTTGCAATGCTTGAACAGTCACTTCTCGGAATTTTTGTTTTTTTAAATGTAATGTTTACTCAACCCACTAATTTCAGGTATGTCTAGGACATACTGCCCAAACAGTATAGTCTTCCCTTTAACCCTTTAACTACGTTACACTATAACTACCCTTTAAAGCAATACTGCCCTGTTTCTTTATCCAGTGCCCTCCACTAATATTGGCAGCCTTGGTAAATATGAACAAAGAAGGCTGTGAAAATGTGTCTTTATTGTTTAAACTTTTAATCTTTTGTTCACAAAATACACAAAACTACTCTGCCTTCTCCAGATCCAAGAGAGGAGCAGATGTGTCAAAGTGTCCCTCTTTGTCCATTTGAAATGTTGGGAGGTTTGCATTAACAATGGCACATGTCCCCAACAGCAAACCATGTCCAATGCTATATGACTCCCACAGGCCCAATATTCCACTTCAACATTTACCCCACAGACCTCCATTACTCATACCCCCCCGCCCCACCCACAGTCTACCTACCAAATAACACATATCCTCCAAAGTCTTCATTGCAACATATACCCTACAACTTTCCATTACTCCTATCCCCACAATCCCCAATATCCAGTACTACATGTCCTGAATATCCCCCAATATTCAGTACCATAGGTCTCCCTCAATCCTCCTTTACTCATAACCACAACAGCCCCCATTTATCCAATCCCACATTCTCCCCACTGCCCTACATTACTTATAACACAACAGCCTCTATATCCAATGCCACATAACCACCACAGCTATATAGGCCCCAGTATGAGTAGCCTCATATTCCCCACAGCTTTTCATAAGCTGCACATACAGACTCTAGGCACTGTGACCACTTCAAATCACTGAAGTGGTCATGATACTTTGAGTTACCCTTTTCAGAAATACATACCTCCACATCTCCAACTGGGTGCCTTTATGTTAACGCTATATGAATCGTAGTTATAACCTCTGTCCTTTGCACCAGTTAGCATATAGAAAGCATACAGAGAATAGAAATAAACAACATTTCTATTTTTCCTCTTCATTTGCAATGTTTGCCCTATTTTCACCTTGTCCGAACTTTATTATTGTGCAACGTGCTAACTACTTATCATAAATTTAAAACACAGAGTATTTGTGTACATTCCAGAAGAGACAGTACCCCTTTAAAAAGATGCGTGGTTCCTATATTATAAACTATGTAAATTGTTAATTATGGAATAATTTTATATAACATAATTAGAAAAGTAAAGATTGCCCAATCCTTTCTTTAAAAATATATGTCACGACTAATAACCCAGCATGTTAAGTATCACTGTATTTCGAAAACCAGTTTTGAAAATGAATGATACAGTAATGGTATTGGTTTAGTAACGTTTTAGTAAATAGCTCAGTGATATTATATTACACAGTTTAGACATTATTACCGACTAATCTTCTTTTTATTACAGGTGTTTTATTTTAAATTGAAATCGTGTACAATTGGCGAGTATATTGCAAAGGAAAGCCAAAATAGCTAACTGGGACATTTGTAACTCAGCACATTGTCATACTGCTTTTGACAAACATTTGCAATCTCTCCATTAATCCGTCACAATTCAACGTTTTCGAATAATATCCTATGTATGAAAATGCTATTGACTGTTTCTCTATCCTAACTGTCCATATCAGTCTGTAGGAATATCAGAATCTGAAACCACAAGTAATAGAATACTATATAGCGTGGGAGATGTTCTCAGATTGTTAACATGTTATAGATGGCAGTAGTTGTCTACTTGAATGCAAAAACTGTAAATAATTATAATATAGCAATGGTCAGAAATGTATTTTAATTCATTTATGTATCAGAGATTCATGCTTTCAAAATAATGGGATGATAATGATTTATTAATAAAGTACCAACATGCTCCTGCTTCACCCTTCAATTACAAAGCACAGCATTCCTCCATACAACAAGCAGCAGAAGACTAACAAGTATATATATATATATAAGGCTTAGTACACAGAACCCAAGCACTGGGCATTGACATTATTTGCACAGCAATATACAGTGATACATTTATTAAACTAGTATGAATAAGATGGCTTGTTCTTGCAAGGTCTTAGATATAAAAGAAGTCTCTTGTAAATTATGTTATAACAATTGCATATGGGAGCTAACTTGGGAGCATGGCATCTACTAAACAGTAACCATTTCCAGCAATTTATGTCTGTTATTTGTACCACACACTGATAGAAATACCTGAGTTGATCTCACTAGCATAAATTTTACTACAGATAAGATTTACATTACCCCGGAAAGGTATATGTTTTACCATGTTAATCCAATCCCCTCCTACTGCAGTTATTAAATTCACTTAAATTACCATTTATTGACTAAGTAATTTCTGTAATTAAACTGACAGAGTATTGACATAATATTGCTTCTCAGCTAATAGTTTATGTTATCCTGTATCATGCATTGTCCATTATAGTGAATAATGCCAGCCTTACTGATAATATACATTGGCTGGCTACACACTCTGACCTCGTGGTCCTAGTGCCCCCCAATTTCAGTGGCGCTGGAGGCACCCCCTAGACCCCTGCCTGCCCAGCTTAGTGCCCGGGCCCCCTTTATTCTCAGTTTGTGTGGAAGGCTGGTGAGGGGCGATGGTCCCGGAGTCCCTGGTTGGGGGTGATGGGCTGGACAGGCAGGGTGCAGAGAGGGGGGCTGCTGATCACTAGGATGTGAGCCCTGCTGTGTGCCATGCTGGCAAGGCTGGGGCAGGCTGGCTGGTGCTGCAGGCTGGCATACTGGGCGCTGTGTCTGGGCTCCCCATGCTCTATATGAGAGACGGGAGTCCCCATGGTTGAGGGGGAAGGTTTGAGCTGGGCATGCGGTGCTTGCTATCTGCCAGTCCAGTGAGCGGTGCCCGGGGTAGAGGGCACAGAGGGCTGCCCGCAGGCGCTGGTTCTCCTTCATCAGTTCCCTAGCCTTCAACTCAAGCAGCACCTCCTCCATCCGCCTCCGCTCCCTGCAGCGCCGCGCAGCCTCATTATTGCGCCTCCTGCGGATCCAGTAAGCGCTGCTGGACTCCGGGCGCCCAGACTGCGCCGCCTGCTGGGGGCCGGACATACTGCCTCCTGGGAGGGCAGAGCCGGGGCTGCACAGTCCTGCTTCCATCACGGATTAATAATCTGCTGAGTGGGGGCTGCCAACCTATTTATTCATCCAGATCCAGCCTGGGGAACCACTGCTGCTGGACCAGGACTGAGAACAAATAATCTGTGAGATGGTGCACAAGGTCAGCTAGTGTCAGGGAGATGGCTATTATCACATGAATCCAATATCAGGACCTAGAGTGCTGTGTGTGAGTCTGGGGAGTAACAGACACTTGGCTTGCAGTCAGCACATAAAGTTGTGGATCAGAACATTCTCCAGGTTCCACAGCGTTCCAAATAAGAGTATGAAAGCAGGTTCCAGCAGGTGCTATGTCTCCTTCATGGTGCTGCAGGAAGCCAGTGTGGAAAGTTCCTCTGAGTCCTCACAGATACCAGACACCCAGTGACTGGGCAACATCTGTTTGTATCTTTAAAAGTACTGGGCAATCATGTATCTGGGAAATAGGCAAAATCACTTCAGGGTTCAGCAGAAAATTTGAAGGTCTCAAGACTGGAGCCTAAAAGCAATTCTGGAAATAATTTGTCACAAGAAAAATAACCAAAGTATATGTTGCAAGAGAACATCTGTTTAGGGAGTCAGTATAGGTGACTTATAGCCATTATATAGAGGTTTTTACAGTACTCCCCCTCCCCTTGCCAGATACCACTAGATACTCCCTTTTAGGTGGGAGGATCTTTGGAGCCAGAGATCACAGATATGAACCTATAGTTGCATTGAAACCTTGTCTAAATCAAGTCTTAGGACATCTTGCACATAACTTCAACCCACTTCTATATTCTTTACTTTGTTCTTATTATAACAAGTAGGAAACCAAGATAATCCCCATGTAATTGCATAATGTGCGTTACATTGAGTTACACATCTGTCAAAAATGAAACATTAACACACAGCTGCACATACTTAAAGTTTTTCTTCAGTTAAACGTTATATTCTACTACATATTTTGGGATTTTACACATTTAATTTGAAAAGAGACTGAGTCATTGTTTTAATTTGCTTTACATAGAAAGCAGCAGTATTAGATTGCAGTGGTAATATGGCTAAATGTGGAGTACTTAGTTTGTTGAACGGTTCTTCACCCCAATATAATTGGGTTCACATATTTATTTCAGTAGTTGCCTAATACTTGGATAAGGAACATCATATCCATTAGACTACAAGCAATTACCCACAATAAATAGAAACATAGAAACATAGAATGTGACGGCAGATAAGAACCATTCGGCCCATCTAATCTGCCAAATTTTCTAAATACTTTCATTAGTCCCTAGCCTTATCTTATAGTTAGGATAGCCTTATGCCTATCCCACGCATGCTTAAACTCCTTTACTGTGTTAACCTCTACCACTTCAGCTGGAAGGCTATTCCATGCATCCACTACCCTCTCAGTAAAGTAATACTTCCTGATATTATTTTTAAACCTTTGTCCCTCTAATTTAAGACTATGTCCTCTTGTTGTGGTAGTTTTTCCTTCTTTTAAATATAGTCTCCTCCTTTACTGTGTTGATTCCCTTTATATATTTAAATGTTTCTATCATATCCCCCCTGTCTCGTCTTTCCTCCAAGCTATACATGTTAAGATCCTTTAACCTTTCCTGGTAAGTTTTATCCCGCAATCCATGAACCAGTTTAGTAGCCCTTCTCTGAACCCTCTCTAAGGTATCAATATCCTTCTGAAGATACGGTCTCCAGTACTGTGTACAATACTCCAAGTGAGGTCTCACCAGTGTTCTGTACAATGGCATGAGCACTTCCCTCTTTCTACTGCTAATACCTCTCCCTATACAACCAAGCATTCTGCTAGCATTTCCTGCTGCTCTATTACATTGTCTGCCTACCTTTAAGTCATCAGAAATAATCACCCTAAATCCCTTTCCTCAGATGTTGAGGTTAGGACTCTATCAAATATTCTGTACTCTGCCCTTGGGTTTTTACGTCCAAGATGCATTATCTTGCACTTATCCACATTAAATGTCAGTTGCCACAATTCTGACCATTTTTCTAGTTTACCTAAATCATTTGCCATTTGGCTTATCCCTCCTGGAACATCAACCCTGTTACATATCTTAGTATCATCAGCAAAAAGACATACCTGACCATCAAGACCTTCTGCAATATCACTAATAAAAATATTAAAGAGAATGGGTCCAAGTACAGATCCCTGAGGTACCCCACTGGTGACAAGTGTGGCAAACCTAGCCACTCGGACTATAACTGGACACTATGCCTTTAAGGGTTGCCTATAGGTCTGGAGAGAGATGCATTGTACCTGTATGTGCCTGCTTCATGTATTCCCTGCATTGCCTGTACCTATCTGTTCCGCCGAATGCAAATGGCGGTTTGTATGGGGATTCCCGTTCGTTTCGCGAACGGCACTTTGGAGGGCCGTTCGTGAAACGAATGCGATACCCCCTAATAGCCCACACACTTAGAGGCGTGTGGCGCTAGTTAACCGATTGCAACATTGTTGCAATCGGTTATTAGAGGCTCTCCTGGGTGGCCGTCGTTCGACTACCGACCATGCGGCGGTCGGCCATCTTGGATCCCTGGTTCGTCAGCGGGTCCGTGTCGTCGAACGCATAGCATTCCCAACAGTTATTCGACGGCACGAACACCGTTAAGCCTCCAGGACGTTCGGGAGTTTCAGGACCAGGTTCACTAAAGACAATCGGTTCTTTTCATGTGTTTTGAAAGAAAGGTGTTTTCTGTGCGGCGTTCGGTTATTTTAGCTGGGATCTGAGCGGCAATCTCACGAATGATGCGCCCAGACCCCAGCTATCTACCGAACGTCCATTCGTGTAAATCCACCGTATATTGTACCAACTGTGGATTTTTGTGTGAATTGCCGGTTCTGCTGCACGAGGGGATAATCCCCTTAACGGTGCATTCTGGGAGGATGATCCCTCTCGTGCAGCGGTGCCTGATGGGAGAAATATGTAGTACAGTAAGTCCCCCATGTAGTCCCCTCCTGTACAACCCCTGTAATGTCTGTTTGGAAACCCCTTGCATGGGGAATTGCATAAATACTGTGACCTGTGATAAAACCTCAGTTGACTCCCAGCCTATGTGTCGTCTAGTTCTTAGGAAGGAAGGGTTACTGCAGTGCTGTTTGGATTATTATATGCTGATTCCCTGGATTATCCTTTGTTGTTCCTGTTACCCAGCGGAGATATCGTGGATCATACTGCCTCTCCGCTACAATTGGTGGCAAGCGACGGGATTGAATTTACACAGCAAAGCAACGTTCGGCAGATTTTTAAACGAATCAAGGAACAAGCATTCGGGAATCAGCGCATTCGAATAAACCTCACGAACAGCAGGTGAATGGGAACAGACTACACCCTGCTAAAACGGAGCACATTAAAGGAGCTGCTGGAAGCAAGAGGAGCAATCGCCAGTAACAAGGCAAAGGCTGTCCTAATTACGGAGCTCATGGAAGGAGACAGAGCCGCAGCTGCTGCAGCACCTCAAATGGAGGGACAAAACAACGAATTTACAGCGGAATTCCGAGCACGAATGGCTTTATTTCCTGAACCACCATCTACAGAAATGTTTAACCGGCTGTTCGCCGATGTACAGGAGTACATTATGGCTAGGGGACCGCCAGGAAACCAGCAAGCCAGAGAAAGAGCCGCAACGCCAGTCCATAGTTTCCCAGGGAAAACCAAAATCCCATATCAAGCCTTCAAAAGCTATGTGGAGACAGAGGGTGGCGTTGACGACTATTTACAGGATTTCGAGAGACTGTGTTTGCTGCACGAGATTAATGATGCAGACAGAGTACCCCTACTAGCGGGGAGATTATCTGGGCGAGCCGCCGAAGCGTACCGGGCAGTACCAGACGAGGATAGTAGAGACTACGCTAAAGTAAAACGGGCCATCCTAGCCCGGTATGCCATCACCTCAGAGGCATACCGAAAGAAGTTTCGGGACATTAAAAAACCCAGTAAGGACACCCATGTGGAGTGGGCGCACCAGCTACAACGAGCTGCCAAAGGGTGGCTGGAGGCCGCCCAAGTTGATACATTGGAGGGTCTGTTCCAGCTAATGGTACTGGAACAATTCTTCAATGGCGTCCCGACCTACCTACAAAACTGGATCCGGGACAGGAAAGCCACACACCCTGCAGGAAGCGGCTAATATGGCAGACGATTTCCAGGACAATCGGAGAGATCAACCCATACCAACCCGAGCCACCATCCCCCCTACAACGGCCAGCCCTCCAGGGGGCCCCGCAACGTACCAGCGACCAGGGGTAAATCAGAATTCCTACCCCCCCAGATATTCAGCACGTCCACCAATCCGGTGCCATACCTGCAACCAACAGGGGCACATCCAGAGAGACTGCCCACGGAACCGGCCTCGACCCAGCTGGAATAACGCCGCCCCGAGCAACCGTGCCGCAGTCCACTGTCTACAGGCCGAATCCGACCAAAATCTGGAGTTGGGGACGACCCGGGAGGAACCTCTCGGTACTCTACACGAGGTGAACCCTATCCAGGCCGCCTCCGATAACCGCCAAGGGCACCGCCAGGAAGTACACATGGAAGGGAGGAAAGTACAAGGACTTCGTGACTCGGGAGCCACCCTAACTCTAGTACGCAGTCATCTGGTACCAAAGCCCAAGCTCACGGGGGACTGTGTGGCTGTGCGGGTGGCTGGGGGAGCCATTTACAAAGTACCCACGGCCAAGGTGCACTTGAATTGGGGAGCGGGGCACGGGAATGTATATGTGGGGATGATGCAAGACTTGCCAGCGGATGTGATTTTGGGCAACGATTTGGGGGAGCTGACTTCGGCTTTTGTTCCCCAGCCCACCGTACAAGAAGCATACCCGGTTGTGACCCGGCAACAGGCCCGCACCACTGCACCATTCGAACACTCTGAGGCTCAGGTAAGCAATGACCCTCCCCTACCCCCTACCCTGCCCTGGGCCAATTCCCTAGAGTTCGGGGCCGAAGTAGCCCTAGATCCTTCGTTACAGGTGTACAAAGACCGCATGGATAAAAATCAAGCTGGGTTAGAGGGGGAAAGATATATCTGGGACAAGGGGCTACTATATCGGCACGCAGAGAAGGTAGTGTCCGGGTCAATACCGTTGCCCATTAAACAGCTAATAGTGCCTCGGAAGTATAGGTTAGAGCTGTTACGCATAGCCCATGATATCCCCCTGTCTGGACACCTAGGCATCAGTCGGACCAAGCACAGGCTGACCCAAAATTTCTTTTGGCCAGGTATTTCCCAGGATATTAAGCGGTATTGTCAGACCTGCGATACCTGCCAAAGGGTAGGCAAGAGGGGAGACAGATACAAAGCCCGACTACGGTCTCTGCCCATCATTGAAGAACCATTCAGTAGGGTGGCAGTAGACATTATAGGTCCCCTCGCAAAACCCAGCCCCTCCGGCAAGAAGTATGTCCTAACTGTGGTGGACTACGCCACCCGGTACCCCGAGGCAGTGGCCCTAACGAACGTACACGCAGAAACGGTAGCCGAGGCCCTGATGAGGATATTCACCCGGGTAGGATTTCCCCGGGAGATTATCTCCG